AGCAGAAAGGAACATCCAAAGACCGCCCCCCACTTGGAGGCGGGTCCGGGACGGGAGGCGGAGCGGTCCTGAGGCAGATGGGGTGGGGTGGGGACGGACACCCCTAGCAGCGCCTCAGTTCCGGGGAAGGGGCGCGGCCCGCAGAGCCCTTCTACTCCTTTCCCGCTCCTCCCCGGGCTGGCTTCTCCCCAGTGCCACCTCCGCAGGGCCACGAGGAACAACCCGGGGAACTGGAGGTCTCCTTAACGCGTTACTTATGCGCTGGAGGCCCCAGGCAGCCTCCACGCGGCAGCAGAGCCTCCTCCTCCAGCCACGACTTTCCCCACGTGCTCTCGCCGGAACTGGGCTGCAGAAGGGGGGATCATCCCACGTGTGCCCAGCAGTCACTGACTACGTGCTGGGTGACCTGCCCTCCTGAAACAAAAAAAAGAAAAGAAAAGAAAAAGAGAGCGAGGGACGGAGCGCGCAGGGTGGCAGGAAGAGAGGGAGCCGGGCGGTGCAGAGCGGACGTGGCTTCTCACGCGGAAGAGTTGCCGGGATGCCCAGACTTTGTGCGCGGCCCGGCTCCGAAGTGGGTAGGGAACGGGCCGCCACTGGATCTTCGAGGAGTGTCTAGCCGGCGGGGACCCCTGAGAGACAGCCGGAGACCAGGCAACTGGTCCTGCCCCCGCTCACTTACTTTCTGCACTTGGTCATGGTTGAGTTCCGTGAAGAAGTAGGCTAGCAGATGCGAGGCGATCATCCTGCCGCGGCCTGACGGCGCCGAGTTGGGAAACTGGTGCAGGAGCGAGTGCGGGGGAGGCGGGCAGTGGTGGGACCGCTTTGTACCCGGGCTTGGGCGGCCCGTCCGGGAGCTGGCAGTCGGGGCGGCGCACAAAGAAGGCTAACGGCGATGGCGCTCCCGGTGAGAGCTCTCGGGTCTCTCAAGACAGGTTTTTGGTCACAACTGGTAGCAGGCGCTCAAGTATCGCTCCAGGCGACGTGTCCAGCTGCCCCACGGTCAAGGAGCCAACTTCAGCCACAGAATCACTAAGACTCAACTTGGAAAGAATCACAGCCCAGCTCCGCTAGGACGATCAGGCTTTTCGGGCTCTCGGTCTCACGCGCGATGCTGCCGCCCGCGGATCTTCTCTGCTTCACGACACAGCAGCACTCGTGGCGGCCCGGTGAGTCTAGTGCTGGAGTTTCGTGCAACAATGTGGCTTATTGAGGGGCCGCCCGCTCGCGGGCCGCCGGGTCAGTGACGCGCGCACGCCCATTGGCTCAGCGGGGAGGGTGTGTGCACCCGCGGGCCACCCGCCGCCACGGCGCAGCCAATCAGCGCGCACGACCCGCGGGCGCGGCCGCCCAGACACCCGAGCCGGCCGGCTGGAGGGGCGGAGCCGGGCGGCAGGGATGGGACGTGTGGTCCGTGGCAAGACGCTGGGCCGGAAAGGCGCGTGAGCCACCGCCGCGTCAGGCTCCTCCAGGGGTGGGGGGCGGGGGACGTGTGAGCGCGGACCCAGAGTGTGGGGCGACTGGAAAGACAGGTCACTGGACCAGCACACGCCCTGTGCGGGGAGAGAGATGCCGTCTGGCATCCCGAGGTCATGTGACCGACTGTCCACTTGGTCTGAAGCATCCTAGTTCTCACCGACTGTGGCTCGGTGAGTCCGCGGCTGCGCTAACGCAAAGTGAGCCGCCCTAGTTGCTGCTTATTCTATGCCAGGCATTACAAAACGCCTCTCATCCAACCCTCACAATCCAAACCTTATGATATTAATATCATATCATACTAACCCCGTTTTACAGATGAGGAAACTGAGGCATGGAGCCATTGAGAGGCTTATCCAAGATCACTCAGATGGGGAAAAGAACCCACGCCCCTTTGATTGCGAGGCTCTATTGTTGTTGTGTGCCATCAAGTCAATTCCAACTCATTGCGACCCTATAGGACAGAGTAGAAGTGCCCCATAGGGTTTCCAAGAAGCAGCTGGTGGATTCGAACTGCCGACCTTCTGGTCAGCAGCCTGAGCTCTTCCACTTCACCACCAGGGCTCCTCACTATACTCTTTCTCATTAATCTATCCTGTCTTTCTAAGCACCGGGAGAATACAGGGAGGGGAAGGATCATTGCCTGCAGCTTGTGGGACTGGTAAGTGAGTGAAACTGGGTGGACAAGTGTGTAACTCTGAGTGATCCTGGACATGTGTGGGATGGGACAGGGTGGTTTATGGATTGGAGAGGAGAGTCCAAGGCACAGCTAATGCCTGGCACCAGACTCCAAATTTATATACGTGGTGCAAGCTAGCAAAAATGAAATAACTGACTTCAGCAGGCATGGGACAGGTTCCCCAGAGAAAAGGGCAAGCCTGGGGTTGGAGAGGCTGCAGTGCAGGGAAGATGAGGGCCTTTCATTTTCTATTGAGGAGTTCCTCTTTATCTCATAAACAGTGGGTGCTATATGCAACATGTATGGATTTTATTATTATTTCACAAGTAATGGATGGTCATTGTTGGAAAAGAAGAATATACAAATAAACAACAAAACAAAAACATCCATGATCCAGCCTCTCAGCAAAAATTTCTTGAAAACTATGCACCCTTGTCAACTATATATCATCACCCCTCTTTCCCTGTACTCCTGTCAGGCTTGGGCCCCAAACTGCTTCTGTCACCATAATGGCCTACATGTAGCCAAATCCTATGTTCTCTTCTCTACTCCTGTCTTACTCCACCTCTCAGGGGTGTTGGGCACAGTTGACCATATCCTCCATCTAAATATACCTGCTTCAATTGAAGTCTAGGAAGCTCCACTCTCCTGGTTTCCCTCTAATCTCTCTCCCCAAGCTCCTCAGCCCCTGTTTCCTCTATTGATATCCCAAGTCTATCCTCCACCCTTTTTAATCTAGTTACGCTGTCTCCTTGGGTGATCCTCCCAGCCCCATGACTGTTGTATCATCTAGAAGCTGGTGACTCACAAAGGTAAAATCTACAGCGAGGACCTCTCCCGGAGCTCCAAACTTATATTCCCAGCTGCCATTTGTCATCTCCACCGAAGTGACTAGCATCTCACACTTAACATGTCCAAACCTGAGCTCAACTTTTCTACCCGAAACTATTCCCTTCCTAGCTGTCTCAGCAAACGGCATCACCATCCACCTTAAGTCACCCTTGATTCCTCCCTGCCCCTCACCCTCATATCCAGCCAGTCCACCACCAAGCTGTCAGCTCTACCCATAGAATACCCGTTGCCATCAAGTCAATTCTGACTCATAGCAACCCTATAGGACATAGTAGACCTGCCCCATAGGGTTTCTAAGGAGCAGCTGGTGGATTTGAACAGCCAACCTTTTAGTTAGCAGCCAAACACTTAACCACTGCACCCACCCGGGCCCCACACCCATGGAATAGACCCGTATGTGACCACTTCTCCCCATGTCCAAGTATACCTCCTCAACCAAGCCACCAACAACTCAGCCAGGGCCACTGCCACATTGTCCTACCTGGTCTCCCTGCTTCCACTCTTGCCCACCTCCACCCTCGTCCCTGTCATCTCTTCTTCACTCAGAAGCCAAAATGACCTTTTCAAAATAGAAATCAAAGCATGTCTCTCCCTGGCTCAGAGCCATTCAGTGGCTTTCAATTGTAATATAAAATTCAGTCTTCTGACAATGACTGCTAAGGCTTTATACCATATGGTCTCTGCGTCCCTCTCCACCCCATCTGTCTTAGTCGTCTAGTGCTGCTATAACAGAAATACCACAAGTGGATGACTTTAACAAAGAGAAATTTATTTTCTCACAGTCTAGTAGGCTACAAGTACAAATTCAGGGCATCATCTCCAGGGGAAGGCTTTCTGTCTGTGTCGGCTCTGGAGGAAGGTCCTCATTATCATCAATCTTCCCCCCGACTAGGAGCTTCTCTGCACAGGAACCTTGGGTCCAAGACGCACTCTGCTCCCGGCACTGCTTTCTTGATGGTATGAGGTCCCCAACTCTGCTTGCTTCCCTTTCCTTTTATCTCTTGTAAGATAAAAGGTGGTGCAGGCCACACCCCAGGGAAGCTCCCTTTACATTGGATCAGGGATGTGACTTTAGTAAGGGTGTTACAATCCCACCCTAATCCACTTTAAGACAAAATCACATCACAAAATAGAGGACAACCACATAATACTGGGAATCATGGCCCAGCCAAATTGATACACACATTTTTGGGGGGACATAATTCAGTCCATGACACTATCCCATGCTGTTAATACTTTCCCCAAGACACTACTCTCATTCACACTGGCGTGTTTTGCTCAAATATGCCAAACTCTTTCCCACCCAAGGGCCTTTGCTCTTCCTATTTCTTCTGTCTGGAATGTGCTTTTCCAGATTTGTGTGCAGCTGACACTTCCTCACTGAGATTCAGCTCAGATGTCACCCCCTCAAAGAACTTTCCCTGACCGGTTTATCTCAGATAGCTCCCCAAGTCACTATCCTGTGACCCTGATTGATTTCCTTCATAGCCCTTATCAATATCTGATTTTGCTATGATTTGGCAACTTGTATGTATTCTTTTTCTCAGAGTCACTAGACTCTGAGTTACAGGAGGGCGGAGTTGGTATTTGTGTTGTTTCTCAGCATCCACAGTGTCTAGAATGATGCCTGTCACGTGGGAGGTACTCAATAAATATTAGTTGCATAAATTAAGAAATCTTAGAGATAGCCATTGTTCACATTTTGTATAACTGTATATCTGTGTGTGTGTGTGTGTGTGTGTGTGTGTGTGTAGAGAGAGAAAGAGAGTTTATAGTTTTATATACTTTATATATTCTTCAAATCTCTTCCCACCTCTCCATCTACTAGTTCACACACCCAATATCTCTCACCTGATGGCAACAGCCTCATAATTTGGTCTTCCCTCTTTAGATATAAATACATAGTAGACACGTAGATTTAGATATCCAACAGAGGCTCTGAAAGAGAGAAATGATGTGATCAGATGTGGGTTTTTTAGGGCGATAACTACCTCCATGTAGTGAGGGAGGGGCAGGAGGGGCAGAGATCAGAGGCTGAAAGAGAAAGACACAGTAGGATAGACCAGAGCCTGAATCAAGTGAGGACGGAGCTGGGAGTGGAGGTATGGGTTTAAAAGATATTGTAAAGTCTGAGGTAGAGTTGATGGCTTTAGCTAGTGGTGGGGGATGAAGGGGAAGATGCGTGCTGTCTAGAGACATTTGGAAACCCACTAGCCAGTGCCACAGAACCCGTTGACCCCAGGTAGAAGGGACCAGAGTCCATGGGGTCATGTCAGCTGTGAGCTCTTCTCCACACACAAATTTTAGTGCCTTCTTCTCCCCTCAAAGTCTGCCCTGAAATTCCAGGTGCTTTAAGTGTATGTTTCTCTTTCACTGCTCACAATAATCCCAGGAGGTGGTTGGAATTGCTATAAACCCCAATTAAGACATGATGAACTAAGGATAGGTTACCCACATAAAGCTGAGACTAGTATCTTCAACTTTTCTGGATCCAAACTCTATGCTGTGGATAGAGCATATGACTCTCAGATCTCTCTCTCTCTCTCTCTCTCTCTCATGCACACACACACACACACACACAAATGTTGAAGAGGGATGAGACATACATGTGATTTACACTCTGCAGTGCCAAGGGAGGCATCAACCAGCAAATATTTATTAAACACTTTATAATGTTCAGGGCACTCTGCTCAGTGCTATGAGAAATACAAAAGAAACACAAGATGTGGTCCTTGCCCCTGGGGAGTTAACTGACTAGTCAGAGATATAAAACTAATGCATAAAACAAGTATTAAACCCACTGCCATTGAGTCGATTCCGATACATAGCGACCGTGTGAGACAGAGGAGAACCACCCCATAGGGTTTCCAAGGCTATAAATCTTTACAGAAGCAGACTGCCACATCTTTCTCCTGTGGAGTGGCTGGTGGGTTCCCACCGCTGACCTTTCAGTTAGCAGCCAAGCGCTTCTCACCACCATGCCACCTGGGCTCCTTCAAAACAAGTATTACAGAATAGAAAAGTCTATAATTAAGAGCTAAATCTGTCTGTGTCTTTATGTGAGAT